CCTGTCCTGAGGGCCCGTGGTCTGGACAGAATATAAGGAACAGAAAAGGCTGCTGCTGCTGCTTGCTGCTTCTTTACTACCTTGCTGTTTGCTGCCTTCCACTTTCCATGAACTGTTTCTCCTCTGCCATTCCACCCTGCCTTGGAGCTGGCCAACTATGAATGGAAACCACTACAGACTGTGAGCTCTGCAAACCTTTCCTTTAACTTTGGGTGTCAGGTCTGCCGTCTCAGCAATGACGGAAAGTACCTAAGTCAGTACCTTTCAATGTGCAGCCATCACCGCTTTCTCACTTGGGGAATGTAAACTAGTACAACTATTATGGAAATCAGGAGGAGATTTCTCAAAGAACTGAAATTAAAAGTTCCATATGACCACCCATCTCCCTGCTAGGCGTCTTCCCCAAAGAGCTTAAGTCATCATATTACAGCTGTACTTGCATACCGGTGTTTATAGCAGCACAATCGGTAGTAGCTGAATCCCGGAAGCAGCCTGTATACCCATCAGTACACAACTGGATGAGGAAAATGTGGTGTCTATTTATAATGGAATACCACTTGGCTGTAAGGAACGACAAATTCGAGACCTTTGTCGGAAAGTGGATGCACTTGGAAAATATAATATTGAGTGAAATAAATCAGACACACAAGCTTAGGTAGGGCGTGGTATCTCATCTGAGTGAGGAGTGATACAAATAAAATAACAAAAACTTGATGGAAAGGGACAAGGGGAGGGATCTCTTGCAGTAGAGAAGTGGTCCAAAGGACTAGGACAAGGGGTGAGGAGGAGGGGAAGGGAAAATAAGAGAAGAAAGATGTGCCCTGTACATGAGCCTGATAACCCCAATTAATGCGAGCACCGTATGCCATAACACGCGCTAAGACCAATCATGGCGACAAGTCTGAAAAGGGGCCGGGAGCCTGCGGGGGAGGGAGGTCCAGGGAAGGAGACGACAGGATAGAAGCTGTAGCGCGGACCTGCAACCACTCCCTGGTGACTGGGAACTGCGTGAAGCCCAAGCTTGTGCTAAGAAAAGAAGCGGCCGGGGGTCAGGGGGTAGCGCAAAGGCCCTGGACTTACGGCCCAGTACTGCAAAAATAAAGTAAAATGGGATAAAATAAAATAAAATAAAAATAAAATGAAATCTTTCAGCTGTATTTTTTTAGTTTTTAGTGCCCAAGACTTTGCCTCCTGTGCTGTTTGTTCCTATCTTTTTCATTCTGATGCTGTTAATTGCAGTTTTTCCTTAATTTTCTTTTTCTTTTTGTTTTTTTCTGGTACTGGGAATCGAACTCACACCCTTGCGCTTGCCAGGCAGGCGCTGTGCTGCTGAGCTAAATCCTCAGCCCCTTTTCTTAATTTTTTTGTAGATGTTTCCCTCATATTTAATTGTGCTATTGAAAAATCTTATATTAATTGGAATCTTTTTTTTTTCCCTTTCAGACAGGCTCTCACTATATAGTTGATGCTGGTCTCGAACTTCAAATGTAGCCCAGACTGGCCTGTATGTAACTCATGGGGCTCCTCCCGCTCCAGCCTCCCACGTGCTGGAATTGTAGGGCTGTAACACCAGGCCAGGCTCGATTCTTTTCCTTGTAAAAAACTTTTCCCCTGCATTTAGTCTTTGCTATTTTCTCGTATTATGTATTCCTAAATTTCAGGGTAATATGTCCGAGAGTCTGTTCCTATCTTTTTTCTTTCACATTCTAAAGTCCCTGACTTTTAAATCAAACTAAAATAACTAACACAAGATAAAATAAGAATGAGATAACACAATAAGATAACATAAGAAAATACTATAGCCATTTATTTAGTGTTAGTTCTTGGTAATTTAACTTCATTATTTAAATTTTTTTTTTCCTTCCAATTTTATTTTCTGTGCTTCTAAGACTAATCTGTATTTTACTTTTATCATTTAATCTATCCTCCACATTGATTAAGTTTCCTTTTATATGTCCTATTTCTTAGCCTTTTTTTCACTCTTTTGGGAGATTATTTTAATCTGTTATTTTATTTTACTAATTATTTTACTCTTTTATCAATACATTCATTATGCTATTGTTTTGTTCTACAGTATTTTTCTCCACATATTTTATTTTTCATATCTCCTGTTCTTGTCACTGTTGGTCAGTTTTGTCATTGTTATATTTACTTACTGTCAATAAAATTACTACAAATACCTCCCCTTTTTAGGCTAATTTAAGAAACTTGGTTTCATTTACTGTTTTGCTTTTGTTATTTTTTCTGATGTTGCGCATTTTTTACTTTTGAAATAGTCGCTTGCCTCAGATGTTGTACCCTTGTGAGCTCATTTTCTTCAGAAAGTTTTGGCTGCTGTGGATGGAAGGATGCATGCGGAAAAGATGGATACAACGCATTCAGTCTTTCTCACCTCCGTGGTGCAAATGGGGAGAAAATCTAGATGCCAGGAAACCACTGTCAGTCACCCCTCATCTCAAAGCAGTTTTTCAGAGAAGGAATTCATTTTTCTACCACAGAGAAGTGCAGTTTAAGAGATGTATTCTTTATTTGTGGAAAAGATTTTATGATATATTCTTCACTTCATAGCTTTAAAATTTGTGGGGCTGGGGATTTAGCTCAGCGGCAAAAGCGCCTGCCTGGCAAGCGCAAGGTCGTGAGTTCGGTTCCTGGTACCGGAGAAAAAGCAAAAAAAAAAAAAATTTGTTGTTAGTGGTAATGTGTTCATCTATTGTCATGTGAAAGGTTTTTGTCTTACTGAGAAAGCAATCTGCTTTTTAATTAGAATAAATCTTCAAAAACTACCTATCCTGTTGCCTAATATTGTATAAAATAAAGATGTATACTTTACTACCTAAAAAATTTAGACCTCTAACAAAGGCAGATATACATTTGTATTGTAAGCTCTTTTGTATGTATACAGAATTGGTAAATTTGTGCTCACATTGTACTCTTACATGTTTTAATGGAGAAAAGGCACTGTAGATTACATGAAGTATATTACATGCTTTGAAATTGAAACCCAACAGTTTAATGATATTCAAAATGTGATTAGCCATTTACATGAAATGGACTCGTATCTACGGCATAAAATTAAATAGGATATTAATCATTGTGCTTTAGGGCATAAATTAGACAATAACCAAGGTCAGGAAAAGATATAATATAGCTATTGTTAAGCAGTATTAGATTCATTATCAGAATACCTGCCCCATTTATAAGGAATAACGCACTGAGTAGTCAGACCAGGTAACACTGACCCAGAGAGGTGCTCTAGTGAGGAACCCCTCACTTTATTGTTGCGGTGTGTATGGACTGTAGCTCTTTTTCTTCTTCAACATTTCCAAAGTTTGCCACTTCTGCACTGAAATCCATCTGAATTCAACTCTTCAGAGGAAAGATGCCCTTTCGCGAGTTCCTCCCCCCCCACTCCCCGCCTTTTTGTTCAGAGCATCCATTATATTTCTCAAAGGCGCGGTAGAAATGTACAATTCAGGCTGGTGATGCCTCAGCCCTTACCCAACAGGCTTTTTCAGAAAATGATCTTGGAAAATTCGTACTTTTAAAAATGTAGTTAAATGACTCAGGTCTGCTCTCCGGGTTTCCTCCTATTTTTTAATCTGCTACTCTTACACATCATCCTACCAAACTGGTCAACTTTGTCCCCATTTTGCACATGAGAATATTGAAATGGAATCATTATTTGGTTTATATAATGCCCAAGGTCCATAGAATAAAAACATATTTTAGAAGAAAATGAGTCTGTATAAAATAATTGTGAAGAGTCCTAACAGAGTTAATGATAAGGAAACAGTATGTGAAATATATATTATTGTATCATTTGCAGAATAAAATGCTTGTATTTATCTGTTCATATAATTATTCACTAGCTGATTTCAACTGTCTTTTAATTTTTCTTTTGAAATATATGACATGTATTGCATGAACAGTAATGGTTTATTACCCCAGACACTGATTTTGATCTTGAGTTTTTTCTTACTTATTTCCAGTTGAATTTTGTAGTATCAAAAAATTCTCACGCTGAATTGGAGTTTTACAAAACATAGGAATGTGGAATTAGGTTCTCCATGATAATCTTGTTACTGTTATACTTGATTATCTGTATTGTTCCCAGGCCTTGAGGACAGGAATACAGTTACTTCTTATTGAGCTTTTGGGTAGCTGCCCAGAAATGGAATAAAGTTATGTAGAATGGAAATATTTTAATATTTCCAATCCTACATCTTAAATGCAGCTTGTAATGTGATGGATAATTTGACATTTGAACATTATTTAAATGTTTTTCTTGGGAGACCAAATCAATAAGCACGTTTTGGACCATCAGTTGGTGCAATTTTGAATTGTGTATGAAATACTTTAGCTTTTCTGGAAAACTGTTTCCAAGAAGCAGCTCAAGGATCGCAGTGTCACTATCCCCTATGCACTAGAGGCAAAGTAGTTTTAGAGCACTTTTGGTTACCGGCTGAAATATTTATAATAATCTAGAATACTAACTGAGCAATGAAGAAAAAGTGTGCCTTCCAGGAAGGAGAGTTTCTCAACAGTGTAAAACGATTCCTGACTGTGAGTTGCTGGTAGCATTGAGGCTTCCAGGTGTTTGACCACTATATTTAATTTGTGGTATGCAGGAACTTCTCCAGCTTTGCTAAGATGTGCATTGATTTTGTCTGAAAGAAATACTGTTCATTGTATTCATTTATAACCATGTCATATGCTGGTTCAGACTCCCATAATTTTGTAAACATTAATCAGAATTTTCCTTCATGCAAATAGTGATTTCTCTTTTTAGTTAAATACAAATAGCTTTTCTCAGACTACCTTATTCACAAGCATTGTGTAGTGTAATTAGAAGTAGTCAATGCATACTCATCTCGTTTAAAATTAAAATGCTATACATTATCATTATTATTACTGACAAGATGATAAATTTAATTCCTGCAAGTAAAGATATTATGTGAGTAGAAGGTTTAACTGATCTTTTCTTCCTTTTTCCCCTCCAGTTATCAGGAAGTATTTTGGATGTATACAGTGGTGAGCAGGAAATTTCACCAGTTAACATGGGGCTTACAAGTGCTTCCTGTCCAATTAGTCTACCAATGAAAAAAGAAATTACAGGTAATGTTGCTGTTGTAGTTTTACCTTTTAAAATTTTTAGCAACTACCTAAGATATAAGTGATAAGTATTAAGGTGGACAGAATGTTTTAAAAAATATTATCAAAATGAAGGGAGAATTTCAGAAAACAAATCTATCACTTTTTCATGATAACTAGATGGTGGGTTAATATAACTTGCAGTTTGACTGAATTGATTCATTGTTTTAAGAAGGACACATATAGTCTTCAGAGAGATACATAAACATAGCTTTACTTTGCATAAGTCCATTTTTCTATCAGATATTACTATGGTTGCAGAGTGACAATTAATTAGGAAAATTATTCTTTATAGGATTAGATGTAAAGAAAAGTTTATAGTTTTTCCTTTTAAAATTTTTTTTTTGCCGGGAATATAGCTCAGTGGCATAAGCGCCTGCCTGGCAAGTGCAAGGTCCTGAGTTGGATTCCTCGTACCAAAAAAAAAAACAAAAACAAACAAACAAACAAACAAATAAAAACTGGTCAATCTAGAAACCACAAATAGATAAAATTGTTTCACTGATTTCATGATAGACTTGGATTAACCCTCAGTTGAGCAAAATAAACTCGGTTTTCAATAATTCATTTCAAAATTATTACAAATCAAAGGAATTATCAAAGTTTTGTCAAATTCTTCAGTGGTTTGAAGAACTATTTTGCCAAAGTCACACAGTTGATTAGAGTACAACATGAATTCATGAGTTCCTGATTTACTACTCCAGTGTCAGATCTTTTATAAGAATAAAATAAAACGCATTTGAAATTTTTATGACAAGTTTTTAGGTCATAGCTGAAAAACTGCTAGTTAATAGTAACATTTTAAGAAAATACAGTGCATGCCATTCACGGAGCTCGCTAACTCAAAATATGTATGTGGTGAAAGTATGGCCTCTGGATTAGAACTCATGGCTGTAGTTTTAAATAAATACATTTAAATACCATGTATTACTTTATTACCTATTTTTAAAACTACAAATTCTAAGAACTCTGTCGTAATTACCTTTTGTATACAATCACAAGTTAACTCCAAAACATACTCTCCTGAGAGAAACATTTATGATCTCCTCCGGTCTCTATCAGGAGCCCAGAGAGGTCCTAGCAAATTTGTTCCGATATTGAGTTTCTCGGAGGGCTTTTGTCCAGATGCCAGGCAGATGTGCACAGGCTGACACTCCGCAGGTGGCTGGAGAACACGCTCCCAAGGTGGCTCCTCCACAGTTCTTGCGAATTAGTGCTGCTTGTGGACCAGCGGCCTTGGTTCTGAACTGTGAGGGCCTCTCCGTGTCATTTACGTGTCCTGAAGATATGAAAACTGTTCAACCAAGAGGTACCAAAGTGGAAGCTGAAAATCCCCACTGTGACCTTACCCTGGAAGCCACAGTCCTCGTTTCCACAACAGGGTGTTCATTTCATGGCTCAGCCTCATTCCTTTTTGGAAAGAACTGCCGAGGGTATGGACGCCAGGAGATGAGGGGTCTCGGCCGCCGTAACAGTTGATGAGCCCAAACTCAACCACTTAGCACAAAGGCGGTGTAGCAGGTGGGAGGGAGGGGGGCATTACTTGATGGGAATACCTATGAAATGTAGTTAGTTCCAACTCATGGGGTGTGGAAATCATAACTATTTATGAAGATTTTAGGTCAGAATAATTTCTTTCTGAATCTCAAAAGTCTGAAAATAACAATGGCAATGACTGAATAATTTAATACTTTCTGTGTGTCACGCCTCTTTTATAATCATCACAGTGACAATCAGGTGGGTATTTTATATTCATTTTACAGATGGACAGCCTGAGACAGAGAAATCTGGTAATTGATCACAGCTACTACCTGAATAGCCAGAAAACAAATCCAGTTTTTCCTACCCCAGAGTCTAAAGGCTTTGCCATTGCCTTTTACTAAAGAGTTTCTCGTTCCAAATTTCCAAATATTTGCATGAAAACCATTATTGCACCATTTTGGAGCAAGTGATCTTGTATTTTCACCTAGCACTTCTGAATCATTTTGCCTGGAAATTTTCTTAGAGTAAAACTAAGCACTGTTTCAATTATTTTTCTTCTGATCAGAAACCGACACCAGAGCGTTGGCAAAAGAGAGGCAGAAAAAGGACAATCACAATCTCAGTGAGTATATTTTTCTGTTTTTCCAAATGAAACCAGTACAGCAGGGAATGCACCGAGATGAAATGTTATGGTCTCTTATTATCGCGCCATAAGTACTTAGAGATGGCCCAAGCTGCTAGCGCAAGCCGTTTTGGAAACCGCAACCCATGGGAATGTTCAGCATCACAAAGACAGGTATATATCTTCCACAAAGCAAAGCGTCTCTCCTTGACCACTGGTCCTCCAGGAGGCTGCGTTTGACCGAGATGAGTGCATGTGGTGACACCTGAACTGCGCTGTGAGCCAGTGATTCAAAGCTGTAAAGAGAAAAAGTGACTTGAGAAGTCATGTTAATAGCGTGCCATTGTAACAGTCAGAGACACAAGCCCAGGCTCTCGCTCTTCTGTGTCAGTTTGCTCCTCCCCTCCTAGTGATACTTTATCTGAAAGGCGTTTCCCGTGTTGTGATGTGGAATTCCACCTCTGGGAAAAAGGCTTGCCATGCTTGCCTCTGGGTCAGTTCGACTCTGATAACAGGTCACCTGAGATGGGAAATGTGAAGTAATTAGCAGCAGGGCTGGCCTTTAGAGTGCTTGGTTGGGTCTTAAGTGTGTGACTCTCTCAGGAGAGTGTGACTGACTGAGAAAGCAGGGTCTTTGTTCTAAAAGCCAAATCAAAAACTGGGGGAAGAGTAAAACAGAAGCAAAATAAATAAAATGTCAACCTCCTGAATGAATCAGTAACTTCCTGCCTGCCATGAGCAGAAACTGACTCTGAATGTAGCTGTGACTGCAGTGCCTTTGCATAACGCACCTCGCAGAGTGATGAGTGCTGGCTGACTGGGTGGTCCTGAGGCGGGGAGGACACACGGGTTTCTAACAGGCCTCGGGGAAATGATTTGACTTCCATAGACCTCAATCATGGAGCAGAAAACTTTGGTCCAGATTTTGGACAAGTTGCCTGTGACTGGGGAGAGCTCATGGTTGGTGGAAGGAATTGGTGCACCTTGAGGGATGATCGCTGTAAATCTGCTAATTCTTGCTGTCTTTCCCCTTCTTTCCTCTGCTTGCAGCTTAGACAATAAGTCATCTATTGTAGGGTATTGTAGGTGTCTGGTATGTACCTTAACTGAAGTGTTGTCTAATCTGGATTGTCTTGCTAAATGATCTCCCTTTTGAGGGAAAAATCAACATGAAAAGCTATCATAAGTGTTAAGTATAATGAATTTAGAAGTTTTTGAAAACATAGATCTTGTGAGAGCATGCAGAAGTACAAAGCAGGTCCCACTTACTGGATGGATAAATATGTAAGAGGTATAAATTAAACTAAACCGTGCTAAATTACATATGGCCCGTCCTTCTTAGAAGACTTCACAAGGTTAGTAGTGAATTTAGAGTCCTCAGGTTGCCCGGCTTCTGGGTGGGAATGTCAGGGCAGGGCAGTGCCACTCTCGGCTTGCAGATTACTCTCTTTCTCTCCTCAGTGTCTATTCCAGTCTGTGCTGCCAGTGGCCTCATACGTGAGTGTGAACACCTCGGCCTGTACGCTTAGGCTGCATACACATTTCTGCAAATACCTGCCCTTTAGTGTCTTCCTGCCTTCCTGTGAGCAAGCCTGGGGCCGTGATTCTCTCTTGGGAGACAAGGCAGTATGTCAGACACCTGACACTCACTGAGTACTTACTACATACATGAAAGTGCTGTGGTGTGAATGTATGAGTGTACAGCAAGGACAGGGTCTACATAAGAACCTTCTTCAGCATTTCTCAAACCATCGAGCCTGTACACAGAGGGTCAGAATCACCTGGGCGTTTGTCAGAAAGGCTTATGACTAACCATCACCGCAGATGTGCTAAAATCAGAATCTCTAGATGTGGGATATAGATTTTTTATTTATTTATTTTTTTCTGGTACGAGGATTCGAACTCACAACCTTATGCTTGCCGGGCAGGCTCTGTGCCGCTGAGCTAAATCCCCAGCCCCAATGTGAAGTATAGATCTATTTAACAGTCCTTCCCTGTGTGTCTGAAACATGCCAAAGTTTAAAAACTGCTAATCTATAGATTATTGAAAACTTTAAACCAGAAAGATAAGCAGATAGTCTAATCAACATACATTTATTTAGCACCGCCTGTGTAGACCAAACTCTCTGGAGATACAAAAGTGAGGAAGGGGCGACACCTTCCCTCAAGGTGGTAGTGTATAATTGGGCACAACACCTGTAATGTGCTAAACACGGAGGAGAACACATGAAAGAGTAAAGCATGCGGTATGATCTTAAAATGTTATAGTCCTGATGGACTGACAAAGTATAGCTGTATGAAACGACAAACAGAATAAACATGCTATATATGTACACCTGCACATGTATTTATCAGTGTAAGTGTAGCAATCAAAAGAATGGAGAACGTTGTTTTGAGACTGAGACAAAATATTTTTAAGTATTGTAACTCACATAGTCATAATTTTAATATTGCAATTTTTGTTTTTAGAGTAACATTGTTATGGTTTAGATCTAAAATGTCCCCCAGTGCACTCAGGCTTTCAGACATGTGGCTTTTCAATCGTGAAGACTCTTATTTCATCATTGATAAATTCATACTTCTATGGAATTTTTGGGAGGTGGCAGAAACTTAGATGAGGTCCAGTTGAAGGGTGTGAGTCATGGCAGCATGAACTCAGGGACTACAGTTTCCATATCTTGTGCCAGGCCTGCTCCTCTCTGCATCACTGTGTCTGCCTCTGTCTCCATCTCTGTCTCTGTCTCCATCTCTCTGTCTCTCCCTCCTTCCCTGTAGCTTTCCCCCACCATGTCCTTCACAGGGACATTTCTTGCTAAGGGCTGAAAAGCAAGCTAACCATGGACCGAAACCTCTAAAACCTTAAGCCTAAATAAACCTTTCCTCCTTTAAGCTGATTGTCTCAGGTATTTTGCTAGCATTGCAAAGCTGACTAACACAAACATACTTTTTAATTGTTATTTTATAATTAAGGAATTCTTTTTTTTTTTACTAAATGGAAATATTTTTGTGCATTGGTTTAAAAGACTATTAAGAAAGTTTATAGCTGACAAAAGCTGAACTGAAATTTAATGAGAGTAATCAATAATATTTCTTCTCTAATAGTTGAAAGAAGAAGAAGGTATAATATTAATTACCGAATCAAGGAGCTTGGCACTCTTATTCCAAAGTCTAATGATCCGTGAGTTCAAAGTCATTTCTGTAATAACGTTACGGTTTCAATACCCCCAAAAATGGGTGGGAGGGAAGAGGGAAGGAAGCAGCCAATGATTAGGAACCTAAGTGGCTCATGACAAAGATAAGTCTATTGTTGGTCTCACTGGAAAGATCTGTCCCAGGGCAATAGTAAGCAAGCATCAAGGCTATTCCTAGAGTTGTTCCTCCGAGCACAGAAAATAAGTAAGTAATTTCTCTTCAATTCGTAGTGGGTTTATTTTATAGTAACAACATAGGGAAATTTAGCGGTACTGCCAACAGCTATTTATAATGTTAACTGGGATCCTTCAGTTGTGATTGTGATATTTCCTGCAATCTAAGATTATGTGAACTTGAAAATAGAGCTGTCGAATTTTCAGTGCTCCCCAAATTCTGGAGAATTACAAATATGTAATAAATAGGATTATGAATTGATGTCAATCAGGTTTTTGTGGCAAATACACACAGTCAAGCGCTTTGAGGCTGTAAATCTCAGGAACTAGTTAATTAATCACAGTGTCCACTTAGAGTGCTGAATATTTATACCAAAACATGAAAACATGGGCTGTGACATTATTAAGGATTTGGGAAAGATCTCTCCAAATACTGGCAACTGTTCATTATCCAACAATAATGTTTAATGAGAATTGAGAATGCTTTTCCCCTAAATCCAGCTGTTCTGATTAACTTAGACAATTAAGTAATATGTGATAGAACAGAGTGTAACATCCTCATAAGCATATGGTAAGAGCACCTAGCACAGGATGGCAGAAGGGTGCAGGATGGAAAATCTGAGTAGCTCAGTCCTGGCTTCAGCTCTTTTAGTCATCATTCAAATCTTTTAAAGTATCTAAGCGGAGGACTCTTCATTCACTGAACATAATACAAACCTTCCCTATAAAATGGATTTTTAGAAATATAAAATCAACAGTGTATATGAAAATACAAATGATAAGGATTTAATGAGGGGTTGTATTACTGTACATTTTTATAGAAGCTTTGATTATCTAAACGTACCTTTCTAGCTTAAGTCATTGTCGGGTACAGGCAACGACAAACTTTTCCTGTAAACAGCCAGAGTGCAGCTGTCCCAGCTTCGTGGCCCAAACCGTCTCTGTTACAGTTATTTAACCCCAAAAGCAGCCAGACAATGTGTAGCGAAGCAGCACGACTGTATCCAGTTTATTGACAGCAATAGACTATGGGCTACCGTTTGGCCACTCCTGGTGTAGAATATGGAAAATCAGCTTATCACAGAATCATATCTGAAAAAGCATAATCAGAGAAGCTTCACCGTGCACATTCTTGTTCAGTTTTTCTTCTGCATGGATCTCAGAAAGGAGGGCTTTTACTTGTTGGAGCTCTATCGTGTTATATATGGGCAAATCCCGTTTATTACCATCTGTTGGAAATATATTAATTAGATGTTAAGTACATCTATATGTACATCAATCTGCAGAACATAGGTAGAGAAAGTTACTGAAGTGTGATGTTCCGAATGTCTAAATATTAATTGCATGCTGATATATTTTATTCTTGGTGGGTGTGATCGTGCTTGCTACTGCAGTGTCCCTCAGGGTTCAGCAACAAGAATACCATGGTGGAGCCTAGAATTAGCATCTTAAAACAGACTTGACCTAAGAAGTAGGGTCTAGGTGCACTGACCTAAAATTTAAACATCTATTGTATAGCATTATTCTGCATTCGCTTGTCAAATTTTTAGATGCTACCGTGGATAATCTAAAAGATTCAGGAAAAAAATACTAGGAAAAGTATATGGGGATAATAGAACAAAGGCAAGTTTCAGTTTGAACGCAGGAAGAGGAAGAAATAGCATCGCTATATTATGCAATGGTGAAACTAATGAAAAGTGGACCTGAAAATTAAGAATGATCAGATAAGATTTCAGTTGGACTTATAAGAAATTTCAGATTAATATGTTGAGTGGCTTTTACAACCATTAAAATGACTGAGAACAGTTCTTTAAAAAATAATAAAATACACATCAGCTTATAAAACCTTCTACTATGAAGTTTTTCAAATTATGTGCCATTAATGGATCATGAAATCAACCAAATGGATCATGAAACCAACCCAATGGAACAGATTCAGCATTTTTAAACAACAATGGGTAGCACTGAAGATATCAGAGTATTGCATATTACACACAGGAGAATATTCATACCTCATGAAAACTTTGTTGCAGTTTTAGGGGCTAAGAACGCACAGAATTACAGTATAAAACATGCTTCTTATGACAGATGCGTTTGAACAGGGAAGAAAGGCACAGGTTTGCAGACAAAGCACTGAACTGAGCGAGGCAACCCACGTTTACCTTATAAACACCATATGTTCTGGGGCGAGTGGTAGGAACCGTGGAGCGGTTCAACTCTGAGGACCTTTCCAGTTCATGATTGAACAGACTTTGGGGCAAGAAGTCAAAGCTAATAGCTGAATACGCTGAATTCATTGAAGCTGACATTTTTATTTTTCAAAAACATTTCAAAAACAGAAATCTGTACATCTTTACAGGTCAATATGGGGGATTTAGAAAGGAAAATAAAGAACAAAGGTAGGTTGAGCTAGTTATAGTTTAGATATTGTTTTCTACATTTTTTAATTGAAAAGGTAAGGTGTTTGAATGGGCATATGGTAAAGATGACAACAAGCTATGCATTTTCCACAGTTTTACCTGTTGGCACGTCTACTGCAATTTACACATTGCTCTTACTGGCTTTGAGCCTAAATTCAGTTAAACTGGTAACCGGCCCCTCCTTTAAAGAGAATTATTTTACAGAGAATGAAAGGCCAATATCCACATCCTTTCCTCAGCCATGAGTTTGTGAGTTTTCAGTGTTTATAGAGTAACATCATATTATTTTTTAATATTGTTAATGCTAAGTTCCTGGAAATTATCTTGGGAGAGAGGGAAAATCTGCCTAATATATGAAAAAACCCCTAAAATATTCCAAGAAGACAATCTCATATTTTTGGATGGTTTTGAAATAGACTGAATTTTTGAAAACTTAGTACAAATGGCATCAGGAGAGAGGGAAGATGTTACGTGTTTTCTGTAACTCTTGTGAAGGTCTGTTTTAGATCCAAGTGAACAGTACTCTAAACTTCGAAACTGGCTGGGTTATCCTTTTCATCTCAGTCCTCCTACTTCAGGTTTTTCTCTCACGAGGAGAAACGAGGGGCTGGGCAGCGGCAAAGCGCCTGCCTGGCAAGCGCAAGGTCGTGAGTTCGGTTCCCGGTACCGGAGAAAAACAAACAAACAAACAAAAAAAGAGAGAGAAACGAAACAAAGTCAAGAGTCCATAAGGCTACTGCTGCTGCTTAATCTTAGCTTGCAAGGCCGCTACGTCTCTGTCGTAGGTGCTTTCATACCCATCCCAACGTGAGACACGTCCCTGTGAGCACAGTAAGACCAAGAGCCACTTCAGGCCTAGAAAACTGATAAAGCATTTTCAAACCTAACAAAAACATGAACGGTGGTTCTGTGCATGTTAGTAGCATGTGTCTTTCCCAGAACCTAATCAACATTTTTCCTGGACGTAGGAGAATGGGCACTCTTTTAGTTTGGTGCCGTTACTGACCTTGTTAGCTGACCTGCGCTTCCAATGAGACATTCAGATCAGATATTTCATAAGTTCTGATTTCCTACTTATAACACTTAATAAATGCATTTTAAGTTCAATATATTCTCTGTAGACCACAAAACCAAACATATAAATATATATATATGTAATATATTTTACATAGATCAATGTAAACTAAAATTATAATTTGGAAAATATATAATTCCCCTACATGTTTACTCTATGCTGTATTCAACACATCTCATGACTCTAATTTGAAATTTCTACCAGGTTATTTAACCACTCTTACTAATGTTTAGTTATCAGTTTGGACTTATTTTCAACACAGACTGACAGTTCTCATACAACAAACATTCTTTCATGTGTATTTTTAGATATTAGATTCAGTAGCCTGTTCCACAATTCCATCTCTATAATTTCTTCTGTATCAAGTGGTGTAGTAAAATATTTTTGTGTGCTATAACCTAAAAGGTTATCCAGTTTTGTTTTAATTGTCGTTGCCTACCTTAGACTTATTTTAAATAAATATCCACATCCAGCTTTTTTTTTTAAACTATTGGTGCTGTTTGTGTAGAAGAGTTGGTCAAAGCGATGCTACCAAACTGATGTGTTTTACAGTCATTCAGGATCACCATTCAGGAATTTATTTTTTTTTTCTTAGAAACAAAAGCAACTTTATTAGGAAGTAGGTCTAAGGATTGATACATTTGAAATAATATTTAAAAATTTAGGCCTAAGTCATCAGTAATGTACATTTCCTAGTTCATTAATGCAGAAATACGGCACATAGATTTTAATCTTGGAGTTAATAATAAAAGCAATTTTCAGTAAAAATATAAAAACTGTAATGGTAGAATCATGATATTGCATTTAGCTCTCTCACAAAAAGTCACTTTATTACTTTCTTTTGACACTTATTTTCATTCTGGGATTAATTTTACTATATAAGGGCTTCTTAACTATTCTATTAAAATTTCTATTCAGAAGCAATAATATCTAAGAGTGAATAATAGTCATGTAAATCATTATTTCATATTAATGTAAAAGATTTTGTACATCCTTATGAATTCTGCTGACACGCACGATTGTGAGGAGGTTATCTCTCCATTCTACAGCGATGCGCGCTGGAACAAAGGCACCATTTTGAAAGCGTCGGTGGAGTACATCAAGTGGCTGCAGAAGGAGCGGCAGCGGGCCCGAGAGCTGGAGCACAGGCAGAAGGCGTTAGAGCAGGCTAACAAGCGACTTCTGCTCCGGATTCAGGTTTTTATAAGAACGTTGCCAGGGCCAGGGGAGCCAAGGGATGACTTACTTAGCATTAGTTTTGCTCATTGGTGCAACTTTTTTCCTTAGTAACGATTAATTTTTCTACTGAAAAATAATTCTGCTGCCTTTTAAAAGTTCACTAGTTGGGTTGTTTCGATAGGTTTTGATTGAAAATTCAGGATCAGGATGACTTAACTGAATGAAGAGAACTGGTTACAAAGTGCAGAAAATAAAGCTCATTTCATAAATACACACGATACTATCTTGCCCCCGAAACCCCCGTATCAAGTAGACTATTTGTTTGTCTAGGTGATACTGGACACTAAATTCTTCATTCTCTTTCATTTGAGTAATATTGCTATGGATTTCATTGCTGAAGGCACATCATACCAGTTTACATTAAGTCACTTCACATCTGTTCAAACAACACAAAATAGGAAAGTATGGGCTTTTATTACTTTCGTTTTTAATGTGAGCATGCTCATAGCCGGGTAGAGCATTTGCTCTGTTTCCATGAAATGGCCCAGAATTATGGTGAGAAATTATCGGGAAGAATAAATGGAAGAGTTTCCACTGTTTCCAAATGGCTATCGTGTAGTCTGAGCCAGTATGGGACTGTAATATGTCATGAATTCCTTTACAGAACAATTAGAAGAGAATTTTAAAAACTATGGGTAATTTTCTCTGAGTCACTCAACACCAAGTTCTATTATCTGCAAAGAATACTTATAATTTGTACTACTCTTCACTTTGCTGTTAAGATTTTGGTTCTACTTCTGGTTTACTTTCTCAAGTTATGTCCGCTTTCCAAGGCATCATTTAATGATTGTTGTTTGAAATTGCAGGAACTAGAAATTCAGGCTCGTGCCCACGGCCTGCCATCCCTGGCTTCCCTTGGCACGGTTGATTTAGGTGCCCACCGCACCAAACAGCAGACTCCTGAGCAGAATTCGGTAGACTATTGCCGCCAGCTGACTCTTTCCCGGGAGCCGAGCCCCAAGCTCTGTGATCAAGCCATGGCCTTCTCTGACCCCCTGTCACACTTCACAGATTTATCGTTTAGTGCTGCTCTGAAAGAGGAGCAAAGATTGGAAGGCTTGCTGCTGAACGACACGGTGTCCCCGTTTGGAACAGATCCGCTGCTGTCTGCTGCTTCCCCTGCAGTTTCTAAATCCAGCAGTAGGAGAAGCAGCGTTAGCTCAGAGGATGGCGATGAATCATAAGGTGTCAAAGGCTCATTCGTCAACGAGGAAGCAGTGCTGTACTGGTGCCACTCAACTACGTTTTGTGTTTTATATATTGCTTTGGCTTCGTTTCCCTTACAAGACTATGTTGTTCACAAAACGCTCATTAGAAGCAGCAGAAGAACTCACAGGAAGAAGAAAAATGGTGTTGAAGAGTTACGGAGGGCTAAGTTTGATGTTTTCCTCTTTTTCTACAGAGTCCATGTCTACATTTTGTTTTTCTGGACAGAGGTGCAGCGTATGAAGTGTCTCTATCGGTGTTTCTAATGAAACCATGTGATAGCTCATAGCGGAGCACCCTGTAAGATAAAGCTGCTTGAACCATATGTTTCTCTTTGTCACTCATGTCTGTATTCTGCTATTCACCTCCTACCACACGAGTTTTTCAAGAATCAAGATCAGCAGATATGGTGGTCATTGCCTTTTTCCATTGTCTGATGGACATATCCAAAGTTTAAGTCTTAAAGAGGAAATAATTAAAAAATAGATTATCTGTCATTTGTAATTGAAATGTGAATCTATCATAAACAGGATTTATTTACAATAGAACACAGAAAATTTATAAAAACATTGGTTACTAAAATTGGATTCAAATTCCTTTATTCAGATTAGTTATACTAATTGTAAAATCATCCTGGCATATTTATCTCTATATTTTATTCAGAATTACAAGCAAGAATAATTTCTTCCAGAAAATGGTCTACATTTATCATTTCACAAAAACTATACCCAGACACAAGTATATAGTATGGGCAATATTTATTCTTTGATTTGTTTCATTCTTCTGATTATCTAATCAGTATCAGAAATTACATTCTGTTGGGTAATCACTTTTAGTAAATAAAATATAAAAAGTTCCCCTGCTAGGAAAATTTGTCAGGTATTTTAACATTTATTGTTATATGCAATATTTGATACAGACCAGTTATTAATACAGTTTTGTTCTAAATTGACAAAATGTTGCAAATTGGATTGACAACTGAAAACCATAACAGAGACTGTGTCCTGTTCAGCTCTAAATGGAGGATAAAGACCTATTCCCCTAAGGATTTGCAGCACCATTTATTCCAAATACTTTTGTCTGTAATGCTCAGATGTTTTGAGCTTGTTTTGGTGTGGGAATTGGGTTACCAGGCATGCTACTGTGTGCTGGACCTCAATAAATGATCTTCTAAACAATTGGTACTTGTGAAGGGATACTTAGAACTGCAGTGGGGCTTTGAAAATATTGAACAGATGAGAAAGACACGAGTTTACTTCTCAGCAGGGGTGTGCTTCCCACATGAGAAACAACAAAAAAGGGTAGAAAACATGTAGAATTGGAGTATAGGCATAAGCATAAAGTGGATTAAATACAGCCAAAATGAAAATGAATGAGCAAGTCTAGGAGAAAAGCAGAATTCAGCCTATCTCTTGAAGGCAGAAGCTGGGTGAAAGGGAAGTAATAGAGAAGAATAATATCAGCAAAATGATCTAAATGAGAAGTTAGGGAGTTATTTTCATGAGACACTCATGAGAAAGATTCGGTCACCCAACAGAGGATGCCTGCTGAAGAGTTCTGAAAGATAAAGTCAGCAAAAAGCTGACTTGAAAACTAGGGCGACATGTTGTAGAAATGAAATATTTTGTGTAGTAGATTTTAAAAAATTAAAATATGTTACTGATTTGACTGAGATGGAACCTCTCAAAAATGTTCAACTTTGGGATGAATTTTTTGAGAGGGTCCTAAGTGGTTCTTACATAGAAAATAGGTTGTCCCAAAATCTGAGATTTAAATGGTGGTGGAAGTGGAGAACTTCTAAATCCTATGGTAGAATGGTCATCTCATGTTTAGCTACCAGGTGTGCTCAGATTTTGGAGAATTAAAATAATTTAGTAGTTTGACAAAAAAATTAACTTTTAAAACTGTCATTGTAAATGGATAGATGCGTTCATGTGAAATATTCTATCTGAAATACAGCAATTGGGTACATTTTCTCAATAACTTTTCAAGAGGACATTATAGACTTTAAACAATGTGGCAAAATTCCACTAAGTTGATAATTTGACTCAACTTCGCAAATTATGGAGAAAGAATACATAGGGGGCCCACGGAAAATGCACCATTCTAGATAGAAGATGTTCTCTATTTTCATTTTACCTATTATTACTGTTGCTGTGATTATTCTGCAGGACTTTTAATTCTATCTAAGGCTGCCGTACAGACCTGGTACAGGGTAGTAGAGCTAGGACATAAGAAATTTGGAGAAAAGACTAATATTTGCTGCTTCCTTCAGATTACAAAATGTCAGGGAATTGTAAAATGGGTAATGGATTTTTAAAGATAGAGAAGTTCTGTGTTCCAAGCAACAGCAATATGTTAAAAATCAAGTAGACAGCAGTTTTAACTTGTCATGGCATGGATCCCTTGAGGATCTCCTGAAAACTATAGACCCTTTCCCTAAAAAACAAAAAATGTAGCCATGTATTTGTGGGCAGTAATTTGCGTGCATCTGAAGGCTATAGGCACCTCCCAAGTGTCTCCTTGGACCCCAGGTGAAACCTCCTCCATCAGGTCTGAACTTTCCCTAGGTGATGAGCCAACTGTTTATCTATCAGAAGATGGGTGTCTATCTAACGTTATATATAATGAGAAAAGAAGAACTTTATTTATCTGAATGCATTATCTGATCCTACTGCTGTTGAGACCGGGTAGAAAAGTAAAAGCATATCAAATGCTAGATTATCATATTTGTACCGCAGCTCTACCCTCCACCACATGCAAATTATTTACTAAAATATTGTTCACTGATAAAGGAGCCCACTTTTGGACATCCACTCCTCAACCAGCAATTCATGCCTACCGTGTGTTATATAGTTACGGGTCAGTTCTCTCTGCTTAATACATGCTGCATACATTTGATAGTAACATTTTGGAATCATGCAAATATATTTCAAAGTAAAAATAGTGTAAATTCAAAGCAAATTATTTGAGTAAGAATCAAGAGGTGCCCTTAGGAAAACTGATGAATAGGTGGAATATTTTTGCAGAAGTGAAACATAACAATAAGAGAATCAAATAGTATATCAAAGAATTTTGTCATAAAAACATTAATTGTCATGGTATTACAATACAATTAATGAAGCCTTGTTCAAAGAATTAATGCATAATTGTAACATAAATGTTTTTTATTTTAAAAGCAAAAAATAAAAATAATAAAACACTCTCAAAACAGGTTAGTAGGAGAGTTACAATAATTAATATTTTCATGTTGTTGTCTTCATAGCAGTTATTCAGAGTACAAGATATAGGCATATCGTGTTCAAGCAATATTAGCACAAATCTTTCTTGAACTAAGAAAAACTAGATGTATAACTATCTTCACTATCTTGGGTATAAATATATATTTTTTCTTTTTCCCTTTTTTACCTTCTCCCAGGATAATGTCCCACATAATCTTTTTCTATGATAGCGTGTTGATTACTTTTCTGTGGATTTGGATTAATCAGCCTTTTCCATCTCCTTGTTATTCTAAAGTAAGGAAGATTATTTTAGCATCTTTTCTTCCAAAGTGTCCTTAGTGTCTTTTCTTTCCATTTTAGTGTCTTTCCTATTTCAATTGGAGAATATACTTTTTTGAGCCAGAAATCGAACTCAGGACCTGGCACTTGCCAGGCAGGTGTTGTGCCACTGAGCTATATCCCCGGCCCTTGGAGAACACACGTACAGATCGTATTTCCTCAGTGTATTGTCATGTCAGTGACCATCTCTTCATATAGGTTAAAAAAAAAGCTATCAATAATAGCCAGATGAGCCAGGGAATTTGAAAAGTCGTCTTCCTCTCCTTTTTTAACTTACTATTTTCTACTCACATGACTGTACACAAAATACTTCATACTTCTTACTTAAAAATAGATACAGCAAATTTCTTGATTCTGTCTAATTTACCATAGTGTCAGGAGAAAATTTAGATTTCACAGGTTTTAAAAAGATGCATTCTTTTTTTTTTTTTTTTTTTTGGTTTTGTTGGACTGGGTGCCTTTAAAATTTTCTTATACTTTACGTTATCATAAAATACTTTTTATTGACCTAATGCTGTGAGATTAAATAATTATAAGTCATAAGTAAATGGTGCACTGTTTTTTCTTTTCTATTGACACACAATATTTAAAGCAGGGTGAACATAATTAACAGTAACGTATTATATATCTCAAAATGGAAGAGAAGGGTTTGAAGGAACGCACTAGTATGTTGTGTAATGTCTCTAGGATGGTATTTACTGGTCTTATGATATGTAAGGTGTGGATCAAAACTAGAATCAGTGCATCATTTTGCTGGGATATCAGCACTTGGTCAGCCATCTGGGTAGTTTGAAAATGCCCAAAGGACTGAATTTTGCTTCAGTACTGATAACGGTCTGGTCTATGTGTGCTCCGTGGAATAACATCATGCGCCCCTCCAGCGCCCTGTATACTGACAAGTATAAGATGTGAGTTTGAGTCAGTGTGTGAATACATTAAGTGTGTGAATATTTAAATTACATGTATTTAATAATTACTAAACACATTTGGAGTCATCATTATTTGCCAATATACATGTAATCTATTATTTGTATGATTTTTAATTTCAAAACAAAAAAGCTATTCAAAAATTGAGAAAAATAGCCTTCTTAAAAAGTTTCTGTGCCACATTTTTCACTATGCATGTCATAGAGAATTTGATATGTATCCAAAATTATCAGAAAACAAGTACTTTGATTTTAAAAAATCTTCCCAGGAGTCTACCTATTTGAGGATAAGTAATACTGTCTACTGCCTTATATAGAAAAGGGAACTTTTTATCATCTTGTAAGGGATTTATATGTGTATTTCTATATAATTAGATAATTTGTATTGTTTTCTACTGATGAAGTCCTCTTTAAAATGTCATCTTCCTACATTGTGTAACGGGCTTAAAAAGAGTACAATTAAAGACTTTTCAGTTTTCACAACTACCTCTCCTATTCCTGCACTACCATTTTTATTTAAAAAATTATCTATTTTTCCACAGAAATAAATTTTGTGTGTTACTTACTGCTTGTGATATATGTCAAATAAAATGTGCAAAAGAAAGGAGAGACTATTATTTTGCTGAAATAATCGCATAATCAGTAAGTTACAATTTATATTATTCTTTATGATTACTAAAGTTTAAAGGCAAGCTAAATTCAAAAATCTACCTAGCAGGATAGCAGTTGCTTATGGCATGCCAAGCTAAAATTAATTCAGCTATATAACCTTAACATTAATAATATAGTTAAAAATCTGTGACTTTAACAGCTTATTATATATATGAACTTTTGAAATA